ATATATATATATATAACCTCACAGGGAATAATTTGACTGTTTTTGTGTCTGTAGAAAAATGACAATGTACTTAAGGAATATCAAATATTACTTACTTTCCTTTAAAATATCAAAGTTATTTAGTAAATCAATATACACAATAGTAAAATTATATATGAATTTATGAAAGTAAAATAAATTTATAATTATATTATTTATGTTTACAACAGAAACAAATAATTATTGTAGTAACAGTATTCAACAACCAAACACATACATACATACACCCTCAGAGACATTTCTGTGTTTACCTCTTTCACCTCTGGTCTCTGAAGTATTGATTAAAATAACATGCAAAAGGTGAATTTAAAGATGCTGAGAGTAGTTAAATTGATTTGCTTCATAAAAAGTTCAAAAAGGAAATAGGAGAGTCAGAAGTTGCTGGTATTTTCACTAAAAAGAACATGTAGCAGGCTGGTGCCCTGAGGGAGCCTGAAAATAGCAGTTTGGAACAGTTCCTATGATGAATGGGACTGGCACCAGACAGGTGAGAGGGGAGTTTTAGCACATTTTCCAGTGTCTCATACTCTTTTCTTCCCTCCTTACCATCACTATGAAACTTTGACACATAATTAAATCACTTTCCAAACTTTTTTCAGAGTAACACCTGTAAATATGTCAAATTAAATAGTGCCAAAAGATTTATAATGTTCCCAGGTACACACCCCAATACTCCTCCCCAGGGGCAATCACTTTAACTCTTCCTGCAATTTCTTCCAGTAGTTGCACCCATATTTCTACATATGTCTTACTATTCCTTATCAATTTTAGATATTACCTACAAACTACCATTTATCATGATCATAATAGCTAACTTTAATGTACATAATTCTAAGTGCATTTTATATATATTTTTTTCATTTACTGTTCATAATACACCAGTAACAAAGTATACTTTTTTTATTGTGACCATTTCACGAACGGCAAAATTGAAGCAGAGAGGTTAATTATCTTGTCCAGGGTTAGAGTTTACAGAGTTATTAAGGATTAAAACTCCTGAGCCTTACTCTTAATTGCAGCATTTTATGACTATAGCCTGTCATAATAAATGAAAATTCAGCTTTCTTACATCACTTCTTACCCTCACATCTGCTAATATTTTTAGATAAATCAATAAACAGTATTTACATCACTATGGCTACATATACATTGTTCACAAAAGGTCACGCAATTTAACATAATATTTCTTCCTTGTAAAATTTTTTGTTATTTTTGAGATAATTACTCCTCCTTCAAAAGCCTGGAAGAGTTTTAACTTCAGTTTACACTAAACCCATTTTGTTCCATACATGAACTAGTTTTGTACTGATTATAATTTGTGGTTATCTATGATCTCCTTCCCTCCCCTCTTCATTATTGTGGTTAATGAAGAGTCACAAACACACATACACACCAGCACATACATAATGCTCACCAATATAGGAAAGTATTAACTAAAAAGTCTTTATATGCAACATATATGCATATTTATACATATGTTTATTTTATATACACAAATAAAATATATAGTTCTATTCACTTAAAGAAATAAAAAATTTATTTTATACATTCATTTTATGACACTAAAATGTTGAGAATGACCTCTACCTTAACAAGAAAAGACATCAAGGAATATGAGCTACCATGAAAATTTTAAAACCAATGATTTTCTTAGCTCTTGGCTCATAAAATCTAATTTTTCTTTATACAAAATTGTTGGAGTTCTAAATTTCTATATACTATTCAATAACAGTTTTATAAAATAACATCATTTTATGAAATCATACAGTTTTTATCTGTCTAAGCATATGATACTATACTGTCATATAATATATAAAAGAAACTATTTTTGACATCAATCTGTTTTCAGAAACACTGAAGATCTGAGAGGTATGGGTATGTTCATCTGTATACTTCCTCTTGTGTACTAATATTCTATTTGAAAGTGTGTATTTTACAACATCTTACTCACCTCTGCTGGATGCTGAACTATGTATAAGTGCGTAGAGATGTGTAGAGGATGCACTGGTAGAAATGGACACAAACACACTTTCTGGGGCCGGCTAAAAGGCAGAAAGAAAAATGAAAACCTGTATGTTTAAGACACAGTTACATAACAATAACCTAAAATGTGAACATAATCCCACTTCATTATATAAAGAGACTTGCTAAAGCTGAAATCTTTAAAAATGATACCAAGAATTGATTTAATCAATCCGATTTTTAGGCACCAGAATTTGAAAAAGACGCAATTTTTTACCATCTATACAGATTAAAATATCTCAAAAAATCTTGCCTTAAATGTCTTTAGTGGAAGAATATTAGTAAGTCACCACCATGGTCTTTTTATTCATGAAGCAAGACTTCTATTAAGTTACACTCCAAATCAAGAACAAATCTCATGTCAAAGAGAAACCTGGCAAATCTCTTAAATCATCTGACATTGGAGGGAACAAAATAATGGTAAAATACTAGAATATAATTACCACATAGAAGAAAGTTCTCATCAAACTTAGCCATCAGTCAACATGGAGAGCTCACCAATTGTGAGAAGAAACCCAAACAGAGGCCACCAAAGTATCTTTGGCTCGAATTATATGCACAGAGCCCCTGCCACATCCATTTACTTTCCCTTATGTTACTGTTTACTTTGTTGTTTTTGTTTTACTTACTTCTTAGTGCTTTATTATTGTTTTAGTAACACTTACACTCATCACAACATTCAGAAGGAATAAAAGGGTATACTTCCTATCTCAGACCTCCAGCCTAGGGCATTCTCTTCCAGCCTAGGGCATTCTCTTCCCTAGAGGCAACCAGGGATTATTTTCTTGTGTGTCCTTCCAAAGATATTGAAGCAATACATATGGAAATTTTACCATTAAATCCTTTATTTAATATGTGCATTTAGCTATGAAATTCATCAAGAAGTCAGATACAGTATATCACGAAGTAAATTTTCACAATAGATCACTATTACAGGCAGAAATTACAAGCCACTACAATAGGACACAAGAGAATGCTACATTAAAAGAAATTACCAACGGCATACTTACCACTACAAAATTGATCACTATAAGCTCTTTCCTCAATTTTACTAATGTTGGGTTAGTACAGCCTGAGGTAAGAAATAGTTATATTAATAAAACACAGAGTATGAGTAAATTGGTTCGATTTTATCTACCAACTCACTCTGCAGGAAACTGTCAAACCTGTGCTCCTGCTGAAGAAATTATCTAGATAATATCTTAGGCAGAGGTAGAAACATATCGTACCACATGACCCCACTCCCCCTCTCTACTACCGAACCCAGAGTGGAGGATTAACCCAAGGAAAAGCAATACAGTCGCTTTCCAAAGACATCTGAAATGGTTCTGTGTCATTACGGCCCTACAATGGATTCCTTCTCAGGAATATGAGCAGAGTTAAAGGAATGGAAGGAGTCTTTAGTGGTCACAAGAAGAGCATACACAAGTAAACACAGGAGTGGTGACTGATGGAACCAGGTACACTGGCAAAAAGATCAAGGGCTGCAATTAGAAGGAACTTCCCATTCAGCAGAAGGATGAAGAGGATGAGGTACACTCAAATTCTGAAATTTTAAGTTTCTCACTTTTTTATATGAAACTCTTGCATATACATAATCAAATTTCAGTAAAACCTTCTATAAAATGTAATTTAAGATCAGATGAAGCCAGTTTTTAAAAATCAGAATTTAACTGGATATCAACTTATACATTTGTAAACTATATGATTGTAAGAATACGAAAAATGCAAAAAATGTCAAATGTCCTCTGCAGGAAACATCCACGTATCAGTAGAGCCAAAGAACTGCACAATCTAATCAAGTAAGCAAGCTGAGTGAAAGGTGCAGATTTCTGTGAGTAGCAGAAAACTAGGAAAAACAAACATATAAATAACATCTTTAGCTCATGACATATAAATATATATAGTAATTATACAAGTTCTTAGTATGACAGGATATTGTAAAGATCTGCTCTGGATATTAATAGCTCTGTGTTTCATGTCTGACCAAAACCTCTGTTTATGAAAAAATAGAAACAAGAAAACATTTACCTTCTTTACTGGGAAGGCATGTTTGAATTTTAGGAAGATTTAGAATTAAACAGTGTGGAGAGTTTCACTTCCAGGATAACAGGGAAAGTTGCTTCAGAGACCCACTCTCCAGTGAAACAACAAAACTGACAACACTATTTTAAAAAAACAACCATTTAAAGTCTCTGGAGATTGTCCTAAGGGCATATTAAGAAAATTACTCAAGAAAATCTATGAAAACTTGGTATTGGGATAGTCCATGGCATTTCAGCCATAACTCATTTACTATCTTGCCCCAGTAGAGGTTGACAGAAACTCCACTCCAGGTAAGTGTGGCAAGAGAACAGAGCTTCCTCTCAGCTTTCAATCAAGGCTTATTGTATGTCATAGATAAAGGTAGACCCATCAGCATTTCTTATACTCTCCAGCTCCTAATGGAAGAAAATAAATTCCTGGTGAGTGTGGCCAAGAGAGCAGAGGCTCCCCTCTTCCACCTAGCCTCCACCTAAAACACAGAAGCTGTATCACAGTGCAGTAGGCTGAGAATGCTAGAACCCCAACAGCTCTTGTTGCCAGTGGATCCAATCGGCGTTCCAGGTTCTTGTCCCATCCCAGAAAGAATTCAGAGACAAGACATAGTGGTTAAAAAAAAGTAAAGTGAGGATTTATTAAAGGATGGATAGTACACTCTCAAGAGGAAGAGTGGGCAGGCTCAGGTAAGTGGCTGCCTGTGAAGGTTGCTGGGAACTTTCCTTAACAAGCCCTGTGCATATGTAACAATGAGAAATAAAAAACCTGGCGGCAGGGTTTGGAAAGTGCCCGCAGGAGCCACGACAGTCCCAAGGCTAGCCACAAAAGTCAAAGCGCGGGAAATGGCCAACTTCCTCCTTCCTCCATTCCTTTCACAGAGTGAGACAGGAAAGTGCAGCAAGATAGAGGCAGGGAGAGGAGACAAGGTTAGCCTCGGGGAGGGGGCAATGCTATGCTCTTAACTGTGCACCTAGAGAATGCAGTGTGGAAATTGTTTTGTCGTGGGCAGACAGGACTATTCTCTTTAGTCCAATCCATGATCCCCTCACCCTCACCCTCACAGGAGAGACCTTTTTAGTGGCCAGCACCCTGTAAGTTTTTACATGCTCAATTTTTGTCTATATTTTTGTGGCAGTAGGTCCAAAATAAGTGACAGATGATAAGAGAGTAATAGAGAGAGAAAGAGTTAGTGTTTCTCAAGCACAAGGGAGGTGACAGGCCTTGGCTTACCAAATCTCCAGTCTCCTGGCTGGCTCACCAAAGATGTTGCCGGTGGATCCAACCGGTGTTCCAGATTCTTGTCGCATTCCAGAAAGAATTCAGAGACAAGACTTAGAGGTTTAAAAAGTAAAGTGAGGATTTATTAAAGGATGAATAGTACATTCTCAAGGGGAGAGCGGATAGGCTCAGGTGAGCGGCTGCCCTGAGTTTCTTTGGCAAGTTAGTTACATAGTCTGTAAAAATGAACAGGTGTAATAGTCATTGAGGAGGGAAGGGCTTGGGGTTGTATTTCCTGATTATCATCCCAACTCCACCTTCCCAAAGGGAGGAGAGATTTTTGTCCTTATTTAGTCTGGATCAGAAGTGTCATGGCATCAGTGCATGATAGGTACTTCTGACCTGCAAGGTTATTTTTTATTGAAATGAGGGCATAATGAGCAAAAGGTTACATTTGGACACTGGAAATTCCTGCCTTTTCTGACCTTTCTTTGTTGGTCTCCAGGCCAAAAGATGTGGCCCCTTATCAGCCCAAAGATTCCTGCTCTTCTTTCTCTGCCCAGGGACCCCTGGTACATATGTAAGTTTCCTGCATCTGGCTTGTGCCCCTCCTTTCTGCCCAATTCCTGCCATTTGGTCTGTGTCCCCCTTTCTCTGCTCATATTTAGCTATCTGCCTGCTCTAACATTCTCACCCTAGATCACTTCTAGGACAGAAGTTCCACACCAGAAGCAGCAAGCCAGAGGCTACTGCTCAGCCTGGTGTCCAGAACAGTGGCTCAAATACTTTGCCCTGGAGAGGAAGACTTTAAGAAAAGAGGTCTGCGGTTCCCAAAGTAACTGACCTTATTTGAAATGGAGTGTGAGGAAGTTCAAGCCTAAGATAAGGATGCTCTCAAAAATAATAACTCTTTCTTAATTAAGGGCAACAAGCTAAACCATAGGCCAGTTAGTTCAGCAGAAAGCACCAGGGAAAGAGACCTAGAGGCACACCTACAGTCAGAACAAATCTCCGTAAGTGGCCTCAAAAACTACCCCTTCCCAAATTTAATTGGATCAGACTGCTGAGCAAGGGCACTGCTCCAGGGCACTGTATCAAAATGATAGAACAATCAGCTGATAATGATGAAACCTAATGGGTAAGAAGCAATGCCGAAAGAAAAAGGCAGCTTGAGAGAAAGAGGTTGAAAAGAGACACTCAAAGAGAACCTGCTAAAATCATTATGATATTGGTGGTGTTTACACAAATCAGCTAATATAACAAAACTCTGCTAAACTATACACTCTAATAAGATGAATGCCATGGCATGTGAATAGTACCTTAAGAAAGCTGCTTTTTTAAAAAAAATGTAAATATGCAATGGAAAAAAATGTTCAACTTAATCAGTAAGAAAGAGGCATTTTACTACAATTTGGCATTATGTTATCTTAAGTCAGGCTTCCTTCCCTACAATGTAAGCTACCTAAGGGCAAGGACTTGGATTCCTTTTTCCACTTTTACATTCCAGTACCTAGCATAGTAAGTTATCAATAAATACCGTTGAATACATGAAGGAATACTTTTGCATTCCCTTTTACCTCCACCTTGAAATGTCTTTCTCCTCCTACACAATTTCTTACCCTATCCCTTCATTTTCTTACTTAACAAATACTGATCTCTCCTTCACTTCCTCTTTAGTACATAAGCAATTAGTTTGTATTATAAATGAAATTCAGATCTTTTATTACTATTTGTGATCTTTCTGGTAAGCAATAACAAAAGATAAACACTGAAGAAAATATTTACTGAAAAGAAAAAAACAGCTAGGCACTTTACATATAAACTCTGTGACTGTGATTTAAGCTAAAACTAATTGTTTTGGCTTATGATTTAACATGCTCATAAAACATCATTACCTATTTATTTTAAAGCAAGTTCCTATTATTAACCTAATTCTAATTACAACTACCTCAAGCTAATAAAACTACAGTCCTTTAAAATATTTCACATTTCAATTGATCTACTTTATATTTAGCAAGTTACTTTACAATAAGAATTGGTGCTTATTTATTATTAACAGCAATTTTTCTCATATTTTCCTCCTCTGCAATTGTCTGCATGTACTACACTGGTGACTAGCTATCCAAATGTTAAACAATCTCTTACCAAACTAGTGGATAAGTGCAGAGTAATTACTCTCTTCATTTTAAAATATTTTTCCAAAAGAACAAAACACCTAGTAATAAACTTAACCAAAAACGTGAAAGACCTGTATATTGAAAACTACAAGACAGTAATGAAAGAAAATGAAGAACACGCAAATAAATGGAAAGATATTCCATACTCATGGATTGTAAAAATTAATATTGTTAAAATGTGCATACTACCCAAAGCAATCTACAGATTCAATGCAATCCCCATCAAAATTCCAATGACATTTTTCGCAGGAGTAGGACAAAAATCCCTAAAATTTGTATGGAACCACTGAAGACCCCAAATAGCCAAAGCAATGTTGAGAAAGAAGAATAAAGCTAGAGGCATCATGCTCCCTGATTTCAAACTATACTAACAAAGCTCTAATATTTAAAACAGTATTGTATTGGCATAAAAACACAGATCAGTGGAAAAGAATACAGAGCCTAGAAATAAACCCATGAACATACATAGTCAATTAATTTACAGCAAAAGAGCCAAGAATACACAATGCGGAAAGAATAGTTTCTTTAATAAAGTGTTAGGAAAACTGGACAGCTACATACAAATGAATTAAACTGAACCACTATACCACTGATACACAAAAATCAACTCAAAATGGATTAAACACTTGAATGTACAGCTGGAAACCATAAAACTCCTAGAAGAAAATATAGGCAGTCCTCTCCTTGCCTGAGGTCTGACCAATGATGTTTTGAATCTGACACTAAAAGCAAAAGCAGAAATAAACTTGTGGGACTACATCAAATTAAAAAGCTTCTGCAGAGCAAAGGAAACTATCAACAAAATGAAATGACAAACTACAGAATAGGGAAAAAAACTGCAAATCATCTATCTCATAAGGGGCTAATATCCAAAATATATTTTTTAAACTCATAAAACTCAGTAACAATTACAACAACAAAACAATCCAACTGAAAATGGTCATAAGATCTGAATAGACATTTTTCTAAAGAAGACATACAGATGGCAAATAGGTACACGAAAAGATGCTCTACATTATTAATCACTGGGGAAATAGAAACCAAAGCCACAATGAGATATCACCTCACACCTGTCAGAATGGTTACTGTCAAAAAGAATAGAAATAATAAATGCAGGAGAGGGTATGGAGAAAAAACAACTCTCCTACTTTATCGGTGGGATTGTAAATTGGTGCAGCCACTATGAAAAACAGTATGACGATTCCTCAAAAAATTAAAAATAGAACTACTATATGATCCAGCAACTTCCCTTCCAGGTATTTATATGAAGAATATGAAAACATTAACTCAAAATGATATCTATACTCCCATGTTCAATGCAGCATTATTTACAACAGCCAAGATATGGAAATAAGCTAAATGTCCATCAATGGATGAGTAGATAAAGAAATTGTGTTAAATTTACAATTAAATATTATTCAGCCATTAAAAAAAAAGAATGAAATCTTGCCATTTGCAACAACATGGATGGATCCCAAGGACATTATGCTAAGTGAAATAAGTCAGGCAAAAATGCCGTATGATCTTTTATATGTGCAATCTTTAAAAAAAACAAAAAAAGCAAAACCTAAGCTTGTAGATACAGAGAAAAGATGGGTGGTTGCCAGAGGCAGGGGGTGGAGGTGGGAGAAATGGTTGAAGTGTTTTTGTTGTTTTTTAGTTAAAAAAAAATTGAATAAAAAATAAGTTAAAAAATTAAATAAAAATAGAAGAACAAAGAAAAAGAATTCCCTACATTTGGGGAGGGTGGGTATAACTCAGTGGGTAGAGTGCGTACTTAGCATGCACACACGAAGTCCTGGGTTCAATCCTCAGTACCTCCATTAAAAAAAGGAAGGAAATAAGGAAGGAAAGAAAGAAAAAAGGAAAAAAAAACTCTACATCCAAACTTAATCCTTGAAAGTTTAAATATTTCAAGTCAATAATGAATTAAATAATTTATAAATTCAGCAGATTTTTATTTTTCAACATTTTCTGTATACCTAACTATATCCCAGACATTAAGTACTTAGGGCAATAAAAATAGAAAAAGATTTCTGCCCTCATACAACTTATTTGTTCTTGTTGTACCAGAAAGAATTTTTTAAAAGTTCCTCGCTTCTTATGAACTATGATGGATGACAGGGAAAAATAATACCAGATAACTACACATCAAAATTTATTATTTGCTCTTTATATTTATTTATAAATAATGAACATTCATCTTAAAATAAAAATCAAGCTACTACTAGAATGTATATATATCTAAGGAATAAAATTAATATCTGAAGAAATATCAACTGGTAGACTCGGTATAAGTTTGAGAAGTAACTATTAAGATACGTCGCTGACAAAATCATTGTCTTGCTATGTGATCTTGAGTATGTCAGAGGTTTTTCAATTTCCTCCTTCACGAACTGGTAATAAGGCACCAAGAAAGTTCTGGGGAATAACTACTAAAACACAGGCAAATGCAATAAAAATGCTCTAATTAATGACTACTAGTTTCAACTAAGTTGTAACAGAATGACTAAAGTAAGAGCTGAGATTTTTTTCTCCTCTACACTTACAAAGCATCGCAAATGTATTATAAATACTGTTTTCTATTATTGGATTTTATCTTCTTTAAAATGTATACAACCCTATTAACATTAATTACATTCTTAAAATATAAATGGAATTTTCAAATAATTTCCCTGAAGAAATCTATGAAATAAGCTTTACTTCTTTTCTCATTAAGGTTGTAGGAATAAATATGCAGCCTTCCTGTCAGACTACAACTGACTGGTTTCCAAAGTGAATTCTGTAATACAGGGGTAATCTGTCACTCTGGGTATGCTATCTCTGACAGCCTGTAGGCAAATAAAATTACATCTGACATATAACTAGAGATGCTAAGGCCCACAAAAACATCTTTCAAAAGTTTAATTAATATTTAAAAGTTTATTTACATTTCTAACATAATATTCACTGAAAGCTATTTTTCTCATATCACT